TACAATATTTATGTATCAATACTACTTTGTGTACAACTTGTTTGATGGAAGTGAAAGTCGATGACATTTGACTGAAAATATTTTTTCCTTTCGAATATTGTTTTGTTTGCAAGTCATGTTTTAATCCATGCATCGAGATAACCGTAAGCAATCAAGAATGATTTTTTTAAATTCTAGTCAGCAAAATGATACTTTGATTAACATAATTAACAATATGATATAGTTCATTTATTTTTAGATGGTATTTACTTGAATCTAATCAAATCATTAGAGAATCTCGATCTATGCGAGCCCAGTTGGGTCAATCTGATTTTGAAGGATAAGACATTTGCTCGTTTTTTTTGTATCCTTATGATATTGCTAATTTTTCTGCAGCAGTATCATGATGTATTCCATATAGTTGATGGACTATGGTCTATCTGCTTTTATGTGTATTTAACTCTTATAAACCCATATTTTTTCTACTCGATATCTTCTTACAGAAAAACTAATTGATCTTCTAAAAGACTGATTATCAATCAGCAAATCAATATGAAGGAGAACTAAAAAAATATAACTATTTTTACTTTTGAAAATAAATTAATAGACGCCATGAAAAATATAGGTCATACTTTTTCTTTTCTCTTCTGTATTCGTATCTCATCAGTCGACAAGTAGCACGTGTTTTTTTGTATTTATTTTATTTTTTCGCGCATTGTTTGATGGAAGACATACTTGCTCTTTCTGACAGAATTGAGTAATGTAAAGCAAAAAATAACTCTTTTGCATGAATAATGCAAAAATTATGTTTTTTTAGTAATAGATTATTTACGAGTTTCGTTATATACACATTTTGACAATTGAAAAAGAGTCTTGTACAAGTCTATGTTGAAACAAGCTGGATCTCCAAATTGGCTAGCATCAAATAAGAAATCGTCAGTTAGTTAAGAAAAAAAAAGTCTGATTAAAATGATGTTGCATTTCTTTGTAGTGTTGATGTTGTGACAATTTTTGAAGATTTGTCAAATGAATTACTGTTTCATATATTCGAATATTTTGATGCATATCAACTTCATTTAACCTTCGGACAATTGAAAGATCGTTTCAATTTGTTACTTGCTAATGCTCGCGTCCATTTTGATCTTGATCCTATTCCATTAAATGAATTTTCATCATTTACTCTCTCGCTTAATCGTAATCATATTCTGTCTTTTACTTCAAGAAATTTAGAAAAGACACGTTCATGGCTCTTTGATAATAATGAAATTTTACAACAATTTTCTAAAATTCGTGCACTTACTTTATTCAACGTTTCTTACGGAATAATTAATCGGCTGCACGAACGTCTACCAAGTTTGAAGAGTACACTTATTTATGTCAATATTGCAGGTATGTGAAAATTTGTAAATATCTTTCTCTAGAACAAAGTGTTAGTTGAGAGATTTTTCAATGAAAAACAAAAAGTAACAAAAAATTTTTATTAAAATGTTGAAATTCGATGGAACCATTAGCATAATATTTGGTTCTATTACCAGTTGGTTAAATAATACCACAATCCTACTGTATATCGTATATCTAGAAACGACAAAAACAGCCGAAAATGCCCATAAAGATGAATATATTTACTTTAAACATTGGTGTCCAACACATGAGTTCTGTTCAAATAAATTTCCCTTTCTTCGTTATTTGATTATGGATACAGATTATAATCATCAAGCATTCGGTTGTTTAACTCCGACAATATCAACAATCACATATTTTAAGCTAGGCTATATTTATTCTATTATTTGGCTTCTTCATCTCTTTCGTTATGCACCTCAACTGAAAGTATTGCATATAGAAGTGTTCGATGGCGTATTAGATGATGATGATCGTCAAAATCGTTATCCAACCAAGAAGCCAATCATATTTCCATGTGCTCTCAATATGCATATTCTTATTCTTAAGAATTGTTATTGTGAACCGATTTCCATTGAATATATTCTTCGTGCATGTCCATATTTAAAACAATTCTATTTGAATTCTGCAGTGGAATATTCTAATCAGGATGATACGGTTCGAACAAAGATGCGTGATCCATTGTTTTGGCAATCAATGATACATCAATGGGGACAAAATTTAATAAATTTGTATATAACTATCAAAGGTGATGATTCCTTTATCGACGAAGATCTCACTACTGACTTTTGGCGATCTAGATTATGGCAAGTAAAAACTTTAAACTCACCGCCTTGCTTTATTATTCAGACTAATAAAAAAAGTCTCGATTGTTCCTTATTATCTAAAACATAAATACTAGAATACAATTTTACTATTGCTAAATATTGAATGTATCTTTGATTATATGCAATCT